GCCTGGTGGTTAGGGCACTCGACTCGCAATCTGCAGGTCGCGGGTTCAAATCCCTGTTCCACCAAACATGCTCGCTCTTTCAGCCATGGGGGCATTATAATGTGACGGTCAATCCCACTATTCATTGTAAAAAGTGAAGCCCAATTGTTGCCAGTGGATGGTGCCTTCCTTCTAGTCTCTCACTGCTAAATTAGGGACGGCTAGCGCAGATATTACTTGTGCAACTTTGTGCGTAATTCAAAACAGACCTAATCAACCGCTTGAACTTTACCACTCGGTAATTTCACTGTCTACTCTGCACGAGTGTACGATCCACCCTCCACATTGTTAGTAAAATATATGCATAATGATATTATTATATGCGAGATGTTTGAATTGAATATAATGTGAATCTTATAAAAAATTATAACAAGGAAAATAATTTATAAAGAATATTTTAGTTTTGCGCAAAAGTGACACGAGTGGTATCCACGTTTAGCCAACCCTAACTTTAGACCCACAGAAGGCAGGTAGTCAACAGCACTCACAGCCAATTCTTGGGATACCTTTGTATTTGTAAATAGCAGGACTTGACTGTCAGTTTTGTAATGCATCCATGGCTCCTAATAATTAATATATAGTGCAATTATAAATATACCTTATACACATGAATAACAATTGAGCAAAACAGTAGCAATTTAATAGTTTTCAATAACCTTTGGGATGTGTTTGAATATCAAATGACAGAGAGGGTTTCTAATATTAAAGAACTAGAAATTGTAGGCCTGTCAGTCTGATTTTTGTTTTTGGCATGTGTTAGAATTTACTTTTAGGGAATTAAAAATTGGACTTGATAAACACCACTTGGCCTGATGTCAGGAAGGAGTTTTCTTGTTTCACCAACATTTAAAATTTTTTGGAAAATGTTTGTTTGTTGTTAAGCTCAAAGCTACACAATGGTCTATCTGTGCTGTGCCAACCATGAGTATCAAAATCCAATTTCTAACATTATAAGTTTTCATATTTATCAATGAGTCACTGGCAGGGGGTGGCGTGGTTAAAAAAGATTATTCATTTTGGGGATGAAGACATCTGAGTAGGTGGTGTGTGTATCTTGACTTATAGAAAACTTTTAGCTACCCATAATAAAACAAAAACATTTTTTTCAGGTAAAAAAAGACTCATCTTACAAATTAAGCAGACATCATAAAAGAAAACAAACACTGGGACAATTTTGACTTTTTTCTTAAACTTTTAATTGGTACCTTTTCAAGAAAACCATTAATGAGAAATTTATTCAAATTATTTGGAATTATATGTAATGACTGGGTATTAAATATTTAGTGCTTTGATCTAATATTTTTGAAAGGCTTTACAAAGTATTGAATTTTTTAAACTCAGTAGCTTTGGTACAAGTTAAAAACAAATTATACATTCTTACCAGATTTATGAATAGTAAGAGTTTCCTATATATCTACCAGAAAAAAACAAATCAACATAAAACTTAGATGTATCATCTTGTGATCAAAACCTGGATTTAGCTTTAGAGAGAGATAGAGAGTTTCTGTTGTGACAGTTTCAACAATAATTTAGACAAGATCAAATTTATATAAAAAAAAACGTATACATACCAAGAACATAATAAATTTTTAAAACTAAATCAGTTTTTGTTTTCTGAGTTTTAAAGGGGAAAATGAGGAAAAACAGATAAGTAGGCATATACACCGTTAGTACATACAGATACAGTGTTTTTGACATACTTTAACCAGTATATCTTTCTATAGGTCTTAAAACATCAAATATTTTAACTTAGATTTCTCAAAAGCTTTTGTTGTATGCCATTTTTATTAAAATATAATGTGTTCTTCTAACGTTTTTACAAAGAAAAATTATAAATTGACAGACCCAATATCTGGTATTATTTACATATTATAACACATTCTTTAGTTTCACTCACAAGTTCTTAGAATTACTAATGCATTATAAACGTTTTGACAGCTTCACTTAAATATTTGAAGTTGTTTTTCTGATTGTATTCAAAAATACTTATTAAAAGAACAAAGTATAATTTTCTAATTTATTATTAATTTTTGAAAATTCATATACCATGTTAAGTATATTTTAAGCTGTGTGAGAGTCCAAACTGTAAAAAAAATGCAAAAGAATATTAATATTTTTGCAATGATACGAAAATGCTACCTGTTATATGAAATATGACCTCTGAACAAATATGCAAGTTATTCCAATGATGTGTTGATGTTTTCAATAATCAGCATTTTGACTCTAGAAACCTAACACTTTTCATTTACTTAAGAATTTTTGCTAATACAATTTTTTTAATTTACTTCTTTTGTCTTGCTACAAATATATAGAACTGAAATGATACGAGTTAAAATGGATTTTCTAGATAATGATAACATGTTATGTTTTTATTGTTTATGTTTAATAACAGTATTTCAGTAGTTTCTCCTTTTCTAGTTTCATTATATTAATATAAGACGTGAACTTTCACGACAGTTAGATTTCTTTTTTTTTTCATAGACACATAAGTTACTACAATTAAATCAATGTATCCTATTTAAAGCCTCAAATTCAATGGCTAGCTGCCCAAAATTACTTATTATTTTAATTTTCTTTCATATTTAATTCTGATGAGCAGTTTATTTTCAATGGAAATTATATTCACAAGAAAAAATATGTAGTTTTAGAACCAAAGGTTATCTTAACTGCATACATCAAAACGGTATATTTATATGAAGCATGATCTGTTTGTTCTCTCCATATTCTTCCCACACATATATTATTCTATGGAAATCAGAACTTACGCTGTCTTAAACAACAAAAGAAGATAATCAAGTAACTAAGCATTACTAAATTTTCAGTATAATCACCTAGTATTCATGCTGAAGTATGTTCAACTGGACATTACTGATACTAGGTGATAATTTTACACTTAATATAAATTGGGCACTATTGGTACTAAATGATAATTTTACACTGAATAGGTACATTTCTTTCTTGGCATTGTTTCTTTCAATTAAGTTAAAATTCAAAAAGCATCCTTAGCAACTGACTCAATTCATAATAACTATAACTATCATAGTTTCATAGAATAATAATAAGAATTTTAAATTATTCTTTACCACAGTCACAAGAGAACTGGTGTTCATAAAAGGTGCAATACACGATCAAATTATATAGTTATAAGCCACACTATGTCACTTGCACAAATTTCAACACTTGCACTCGTATACAATGAATTCATAAGTCATAATTTTGGATGTGAAAAAACTTTAAAAATGCTTCCTTTCATCTTAGTATTTAAGTTATTTTGTATATATTTGATCAGAAAGTTCCATTTCATTTACAATAATTATTAAAGTTTCAATTTGATTGATATTTATTAACATATTTCTTTTGATACTTTATTTTGCCAATTGCAATATTTGCCAATTCTCGCTATAAATCATAAAAACACAGCAAAATTGGCAAAGATTTATCTGTGACCTAGGAGTCTACCTTTCAAAATGGCATCATGTTTACCTTTGTCAGATTGATATCATGAATTTTGCTGACAGCATACTTGGTTGAGATAAATTTATGTTTAAAAAATACATGGTTTATTTTAAATAAAAATAAGTTATTTTATTTACATGCATTGTTTTAATTCAACAAATAAGGACACTGGAATATCTTACAGTCACCTACCACACTTGCTAAACCTAACTAAGCTTACCAGATGTGGAAATGTTTGTAGCTGTCAAACATATAATTAATTTAACACAAATCATTTTCAGGAATAAAAAAAAGCATCTATAGAAATTATAAAAAAAATGTCTGTATCTATAGTTTTTTTCCTTATTCTTCTGTACTTCTCATTATATTTCTTTGTTCAACCCTAAAGGAACTCCAGGTAGTTAGTATCTTGAAAAGCCACAAGTGACTTCTCATACCAATTTATTTACTCTGTATTGATGTACATTTTTTATAATCTATCCTATCCAATAGCATTTAGCTGAAGCTATTTTCAAAACCCGAGCTTCATTAATAACACAGACCCGCACATTTAAACCTCATACAAGTTGTTTTGGTTTTAATATGCAGATTTCAAATATAATTTTTTTTTTTTCTGTCACATAAGGATTTTTTGCAAATCAGGAAAAAACAACAAAAATACAAACAAACTGAAGAAAAGGGAAGAACATTGATGTCATGAATATGCATCCTCATTCATCACGATTTTTGTATGTGAAATCTACGTCTTTTAGTCTCAAAACTACGTGTTGTGGTCTTTATTTTATGTATTGCATTATGTCATTTTATGAAAAATTTGTATGTGATGGAAAAAAATTGATATCATTTTTGGATTCAGCATACAGAAATTACTGTAGAACATGTAAAAATTTCAAGATAATAAAACCATTGCAGGCCTGTGTAATTGTTCAAGTTATATGCTGTGACATTACAAAAAAGCAGCAACACATGGCAATAATAATTAATAAAACCACTAACCAAAATATACAGCTCTTCTTTTCTTATTAATGTGTGTGTGTTTGTGTTTACCACAGAGAAATTAAGATTCAATACAAAAATCATACAAGATACAACTTATTTAGTGGCTAAAACATTCTCTAAAAAAATGTATCATCACTGCACTCCTACATCTAACGCAGTTTCATAAAATTTATTACATTAATTTTTCTTACTAGATTCATGTACAAAAAGACTCACTTTGGTCATATATTTTAACAGGTTTATCATACTTCAGATATTTGTCATGAGCCATTAATAATGACTGTCAAATATTATGTTTGAATTAGAAACGTACATTATAGTTAAAATAAAAACATTTGTTTCTAGACAAAATTCACATTAGTGAATTTAGACATTTCTCATAAATTTGAATGGAAAACAACAGCTACTCATTTATTATGAGACTCATTATTAACAGTTTTGTGAGATGTATAATTATTCTTATGCCTTATGAAAATTATATTGAATAAGTAAATATACTCCAGAAATTTAAAAAATACTTATTCTAATGTAAAGTTCGAATATGAATAAGTACAGTACATAAGAATATTATAAAACAGCCATGATTTAGATCCCTGGTTAAGACTACTAAAGTATTTGGAAAATTTGAGAATTTTTTCAACACTCCCACCATTTTCCAACAATTTAAGTTTGTCCAGGTAATGGTTTGTTCGGTGATTTCTAAGCCTTGCAATGATCCTTTTAAACTGCATTTGAAGAAGTTTCATAAAATTACTATTCTCTTGCACACATAATGACTCTTTCTTAGTCACATCTTAACTGGTAAATACAGTTCTTATTTAAATACTGATGTTGCCTACATTTCAACTAATGAAGTCTAATTTACTTTTTTGTCGGCTCAAGGTATCAAATCATCAAGATTCCATAGTTTTAAAATGCTTGAGTCTTAACTGACAATGACGTTTTTTTCCTTAACTGTGGTTGATGGAAGTAAATGCTATTTTATCAAAAAATGTTTTTTATTAAAAAATGGGTCTACTTATGAGACTACTCCTTACTGTTTAGTTTCATAGCCTGCATCTTACAAATGACTTAAAAAATTAAACAGCTGCACCATCAACAAAACAAAATTATTAATCTTTACAATCAGTTATCTTCATTTTATATGAAGCTATAAAGCTTTTTAAAACTTATTCAGAGTAGATACCATTCTTTAGCAATTATTATTCATAAAATTAAGAAATAAACTTGCATAAGAAATGTTCTGATACATATCTGAAGAACAATTTATGTTATTCATGCTTCATAATTCATAGATTTAGACAGAAAACAAACTAGATTATGTTATTTGTAAAGGAGAGCATAACAACAAGTTTCTACATTTCATTAAATTTAATATAAAGCACTTTTTTATTCAAGGATAAAAAAAGGTTTTTTATTAATAAACAAAATTATCTTGTTTCTGTTAGATATATATAGATTTATCTTGATAGTTTTATATTTGACTTTACATCACGAAGCTATTTTCATAACTAACATCAAAATACTTTTATTTTCTTTCCTTACAACACTTTGACAAGTGTACCTGGTATCTAATCTTGTTTAATGCCTTAACTTCTCTCAAACCTCTTCCACTGAGGAACATAATTTATTAAAATAAAATATTTTTTATTTTCATGGATATGATGCTCCCCAATAACAAAAGCATATCTTGTTTAAAAAGTCTTAGGAGACAAAAACGACAGCTCTTTTAACCTTTAAACTAAAATAATTACATTAGGCTATATCTAAGAAACATGTATGTACATTAACCTCAGCATGAAGTTTTTAGTTGAGTCCTTTACTATTCTTCTAGTTTATTATATTTCAGATACTGAATGATCATGTGAATGTGGTTTAGATTCAGGAACTTAAACATTTTTAATCCTAGATATTGTATCTTTGAATTTCCTTTTTCTTGAGACTGTGCTCAGAAGTCTGAGAATAAATTATTAGTATCATTTATTTTTTGTTCAGATGGAATGAAACGATGATGATTTTAATTATAAAATTGTGTATGTTACTAAATTCACCAGTGATAGGAAAGTAAAGCAATGACAACAACTTAATACTAGACTAAGTTTAACCCTTCTGGACTTATTTGATCCAACACTAGTTCCCACAATATTATAATGAAATTATATATATATTTTTGAATTTATTACAATGAAAATTGACATTAAATTATAACATTTAACACAGTAAAAGCTATCTAATGAAAAAGTTATTCATCAAGGCAGTTTCAATTTGTTTGAAATTGCACCAGGTAAATATCATCTGAAACAGATGCACCTAAATTCTGAACATAATAGGAGGGTTAAAGCATGTTTTACAGTAGCCTGTAAACTCCATTTTTTTCTAGTTCTGGGTCCACAGGTATTCAGGAAGATCCTTCTAAGTTCCAATGGAGACAGATGCAGTTTGCCACAAATTCAAGCAATGCTAATAACAACAACATGCATAACTGGTAATATTCTAAAACTATACTAAGTAGTTTTGATAATTATTTGAATTCTACATGCTTCAAAATTACAAAATTATGCCTTTATTTGTAAATCATTAAAATTTTCAAATCTTACCCTTTGTTTGTGACAAATTATACCCATTTTCTGTCAAAACGTGACATTATATCCATTCTCTTTGACTATCACATAGTCTCTGGAATCTAACGATATCTAAATTCTTACAGTTTCTCCTCACTTCCTAGTGTGGCAGAAAGTTGACATCAGAATACTCCTGCAAAGAATGAATGCAAGCTTTCAAAAGAAACTCCTTAGTTTTTCACACAGAAATTCTTTCCACATTAAAATTCTCTAACCTTAGCGCAGCCTCCCCTCCCAAAAAATACTTTCACAATCACTATAATACTTATCACCTTAGCGCAGCCTCCCCTCCCAAAAAATACTTTCACAATCACTATAATACTTATCACCTTAGCGCAGCCTCCCCTCCCAAAAAATACTTTCACAATCACTATAATACTTACTTGCTAAACTAGTCCTTTCAATTTTCAATAATGCATTAAGCCAAGGCATGATAGTTTCTGTTTCTATAATCCTAATAAAACTTATAAACAATAAATATTAGGATTTTAAGAATCATTAACAAATTGTTAGGACTTATCCTGAATATACTAAAAGTTCAAGTAGAGTTCATGTAATTAAAAATAAGCTAAAAATTTGTGAATGGTGGATTATAATAAATTTAGCTTCTCAACTTAAAGGAAAGCATATATACAGATTTTTTACTTTCTATGTGTGTGT